ATGCTACAAAAGGCTGYATTGAAGATGTGCTGCTCGTTGGACTAGAGGACAGCAGCTGCCTACACGTCTTCACTTCTGATGTACTCATCAATATCCGACCTTCTCATTTTTGCAGAGGCTGGCCTCCACATCCCTGCATGATCCCACGCTTTGATCAAGCCAACCTGAGTTTCTCAACCACCTACGTGCTCCTACGGTGCGCAACACTCATGCACTTTTCCTCCTAATTAGCTGTACTCATCACTTGTGGTTGAGGCATTAGAAAACACCAAATCGGCGGGTCGTTGGAGGGCTTCAAGAGCGCTTATTCAATAGATCAGTGAGAATGAGCTGTCTGTGGTGAGCACGGTGAGATAGTTATTTTTGAAGAAACTTATCAAGGGGAAGAATCCGAAAACCTTGGAGGGCTACAGACTGTCTCATTGCTTGGTTTCGGTGTCCCCGCCCCCAACACACAGCTTGGAGGAATAGCTCTGCTGTTAATTTTTAATAGGTGATGAGAGAATCAGGGAAGCTCCAGAGAACTCAATTCTTCCTGCACTCYGACGGAAGAACTTCAGCACTTGAAGACTTGTTAGCTCCACAACTCCAGGAAGAGCTACTTAAGGAAAGCATCCTATGAAAAACTACCACAACATGAAGCTTTAGAGTTATCACAGTATTCATTTCACAGCTGAACTGTTACAACTATATCCATATGTATGTATATATATTTGAAATCAGCACAACTTCTGCATATTCCGTTTGCAATATCACACTTCAAAGGAACTGGAGCTACCACGGCAATCGAAACGAGCTGTCGGGACCAACAGCGTAACCGAGCAGGAGTTTGCATTAGCCAGAGGCCACGGAGCGGCCGATGCCTGGGACAATCCTGTTTAACCCAATTATGTCCACGACAATGCCGAGGGCAACCAGAGGCTGCGAGGAGGCTCAGGGTCTAATTGGACACATGCTCAATTAGTGCCCCAGCACAGAGCCAGCCCAATTGCCACCTGCCTCAGCACCCACGGAGCACCTCTTGGAGCAGGTAGGCACCGGGCAGCACCCGCTCCCCCATCTTGGCTCACCCACACTTGTGGGCAACCACAGGATAGCACCATGCCAAGACACGGGAAGGTGCACGTGTTTGGGGAACCCGTTCAAGCCATCACAGCTCATCACGGACATGCATTAGCGAGCAGCACTGGGATCTTGGTTCCTCACATCTCCTGCTCACCCAGCACAGCTACCTGCAGCAGGAAAGGGAGCTCAAGACAGCACCCAAAGCTGGAGCCTGCCAAGTCCAGCCACGGAGCAAGGTTTTAACAAGGAAAGCCATTTACCTTCGCAGGAGAACAAGAGTCCTGACATCGGGACTGAGTCATTTCCACGGCTCTGCTGCAGCCACCAGATGCTGCAACATCTGCCAAGTCCATGGGAAGTGTTTGCGCTCGGCGCTCGTGTCGCAAGAGCTCTGCTAACCTCAAAAGCCACCTTAAGCTCTGACCCATTTCAGGCTGTTAATGGAGCGTGCAACAAGACAGCCTCACCAGGAAAGCCGGATTTCCTTTGTAGGAGAAGGGAAAGAAAGGGTACAGACGGACAGCAGGTTTGGTCCTGAATCGCTCTGACCTACTAACTGCTTTTGTTCTCCAAAGTGGTTTGTTCAGGGACACATCAGCCTGCCTCCTGCCTCCATAGCCCGGTCTTCCCCAAGGAGAAACAGGGAAGATGCAAGGGACCAAAACTGCTGTCCCCAACCCAGAGCCCTGTGGCTTTGCACAGCTTAGAGATGCATCATCTCAAGCGCATCCTCTGCGAGCAGCGCAGAGTTTCAGCGCTCCGGCTTTGCATCCACACTGAAAGGAGGAGCGTGGAAGCCGATGCCCAGCTCCAGCACAGTGCCGGGCACACGCGGGCTGCTCTTCATTCAGCCCTTTCCATGAATCTCCCTTAAGGCAATAGCTCATGTCTGAAAAAACCACAGGCAATAAAGCCCTGCAGAGTTATACATGACAGGAAGATTCACAACTGCTTCAGCTGCCTCCTGTTTTTGCACAGCTGAGCCCCAGGGAGCTTCTGACAAGTCTCTGCTCCATCCACAGCAAAATCCCCAAATCCCCAAAGTGGCTACTCAGGATCACTGAACTTGACAGACATTCACTTATGCCAGAAGAAAGCAAAGGACCTTCAGGGTTGAGGGCTAAAGTAACCCAGGTCGTGGCGGCCTCTTCATTTCTTGGAGCCCAGTACACAGCGCTGGGGCCAAAGCAGACCTTGCGGAAAAGGCCATCAGTGTGGAGCTGAAGATGCCAAGACGTTCCTTACTCTCTGCTCCAAGCTTCCTTGCAGTTATTCATTTAAGAGGCACGAGCAGTGGCTTTGCACCGGCAAAAGGTTACAGAAGCTGGAGCACTTTTGGTGTAGACGTCCAAGAAGAAAGGGCTAAGGGACACAAGCAGTGCCTGCTTTCCGCTCCCGTGGCACAGAACTGCTCTGCGCCAGCCTAAAAAGAAACTCAATAACGTCCTGCTACTCACGCAGTTCAGATTTGGGAAGAAGGCACATGCAAGTGCAGTCTTTGCACCCCAYGTGTCATTGACCCGGGCGGCCCATCACCCAGTGAGCAGTCCCAGGGCCACCGGGCAGCCTGACCACACAACGTGTGGGTCTTCTAGCGCAGGGCTGGAGCCGCTGGACTCTTCTCATGCTGTCCCATCCTGCCCTGGAGCTCATCCCTTGCTCCTCTTCCTGCCCCACACAGGACGGCGCTCTTGGCCAGCCACCTGCTCCCCTCTGCGTCCTCAGCGCAATGATTCTTCCTCGGAAAATGGCATTAACGGAGCACATGCCACTTGCGGCATATTCCAGAGCCACATGCCAGCAAGGACATGCAAGAACCTGAGTCAGAGCCATGGATAAAGAAACCCACCAGCAGCACTCCACAGACTAGTAGCCTCAGAGCCCATGGGATGGATCCCAAGCTCTCATCCCTCTCCGCCATCCCTAGGGGGAATCAGCCGCAGCCTTTCCCTACCCTCTGCTCCAGTCTGGTCCCAGCCTGCAGCGTGATACCTGAAAGGCAAACATAGAGTGCAGGGGAAACTAGACAGTTGTGGCGTTTCCCCACTCAGAGCACAAGACCTTCTAGTCCTCAGACCTCTCCGAGGGTCTGGAGACCAGGTCTCTCAATTATCCATTGGGAGGCAAAGCAGTTTTCTCTCCAGATATTCTAAAAAGTGCCCTGACCATTGGTGCCTCGCTCAGATCACGGGCACTACAAGGAAAGCTCAATCCGAGGTTCTCCTTGGCAGACGGCTAGAAGAGCTGCGGTGAAGCTGGGTCTCGGAGCTGTACCCGCGCGGGCACATCCAGGGAAGTGCCCCCAGACCTGCGCAACGCCTCGGCACGGGACGGAGCCAGCGGGGTCCCTCGGCGCTGGGACCCCTGCTGTTGCACGGGCTGGCATTAACGGATGAGCAGGGATTAGGAAGAGGCTTTGCCGCACTTCTTGGTTAAGTACAGAGCACAGATTAGCTACCATCCCCCTGCGGGTCTAGTGCAACCCCCAGCACGGCTGGGGCCCGCACAGCCCCACCAGTGCCCCTCTGTGTTCCTCTGTTCCACAGGGCAACCACGGCYGTTCCCAGGCTAATGGGGCAAGGAAATGAGTAACTGGACACGCTCAAGCCGAGAGCGGCCCGTGCTTTTCGTGCCATCAAAGGCACCTGTTCGAGGCGCTGAGTAAGAAAGTCCTCACCCGCATCGCGAGCTGCGACTCGAACCTGTAAAACCACAAAGCATTTACTGCTAAAAAGCAAACAGCGGAGCTGCAGGGGTGTCATTTCCATGCACCAAGGCAAGAACACCCTGTCCCGGCCACTGACTCACTGATTATACAGGCAGTGGCACGGGCACAGACCACACCTGGTCTGCCACACACCAGGTATGCCTGGGCATCAGCAGGACAGCGACACGCTCCCGGGTACACGGCTGCCCTCCACGCCTTCCCCGGCGAGGAATCCTCCCCGGCAGCCCTGCCCCGCTGCTACTTTGACCTTCACTTCGCTGAATCACCCATTCATTCCCGATCCTCCCCGCTTCCTCCTTCGGAGAGGCTCTGCGGGAGGAGCAGCTGGTTTCCCACCTCCCGGCTGGCCCTCAGCCTGCACGTGAGCTTGGGCGCTCTCCGAGGAGCTCTCCCCACCGTAAGATGATCTTTCCTAGAAAGCACCTGCTTCCCCTGCGCCGCCTGCCAGCTCCGGCTCCGAGCGGACACTCGGAGCGCTCCAAAGGCGGTCCAGACCTTCCGACCGGGACACAGGCAGTGCATCCTTGGGCTCCCATGGGGCAGATCCACCTTTGCATTTGCACAGGAGCTCTAGGGAGCTGGCAGATCCCTCCCCAGCACGGCAGCATGAGCGGGAGCTCTCGTGTGGGTGCTTCCTAGCTTGCTTGGCGCCTGCTGTCACAGGCACCTGCGGGCACCAACCTCAGGCAGCCTTCCCACCCTGAAAAGGCACCTCCAGCATTACTGCTGAGAGAAAGGAGAAGGTCATGAGCTTGTAGAGCCTGGAAAAAAAAAATCGGCCACAAGCCATGGAGAAGTGGCCTCACTTGCCTCCAGAGCACCCCTGCACAGGTGAGTGGGGCTCAGCCCTGGAGGAGCTGGTGCTTCCCATGGTCTCCAGGCCAGAGGAGGCTGTGAGCCTCCTCCGAGCCAGCCCGGCGCTGGAGCAGAGGCCAGAGCAGCTCCCTGGCTGTCCAAAGRGCTCCCAAACCAGGGGAGCAGCCCTGCTGCACAGTAGCCGCTCCATCCCGCTCAACACGGGGGCAGTCAACTCACGCCGTTACACTGAGACGGGCAGGCAGAGCTCGAGGCAAAGGACCACGTCTAGGCACCATGCAGCATCCCCGAGCGCTGCGCCTCTGGGGACAGGGCGGGCGGGCGCAGCTCGGTAGCCAGGGGCTAGCGGGACCTCTCGGCCCGCTGCGGGGCGGCGTGCGGGGCCACTCACCTGTGACGAGGACGGCTCTGCCGGCCACCGGGAGCAGGCGGCGCGGCGGGGCCCGCCGCAGCAGCAGGCAGGCGGCGGCGGCGGCGAGCGCGAGCCCCAGGGGCAGCGGCAGGCAGGCGCGGCACAGGCTCTGCAGCGCGGCCAGCAGCGCCACGGGCAGCACGAGCGCCCGGCCCAGCACCACGTCGCGGCGCGCGGCGCGCAGCGCCAGGCTGCCGGCCAGCGCCGCCCACAGCGAGCCGTACGCCCAGCGCTCCATGGGGCGGCCCGGAGCGGAGCCGCCACGCGGGACTCGCCGCTGGCACCGGGAGCCGCTCGGCGCCGCGGGGCCGCCCCGCGTGCTGCCCGCGCCGCCGCGCCCCGCTTATAAACGCGCCGGCGGGAGGAGCGAGGCGGAGCCGCTGCCGCCGCGCTGCCAATGGCAGAAGTTTTCCCGGCTCCGGGGCACGGCCCGGACCGACCCGGCCCGGCCCGGCCTGGCCCGGTTCCGCTCGGCGCCGTTCAGCCCGGACCAGAGCGGTTCAGCCTGGATCGACTCGGATCAGATCGACTCAGGTAGGTTCAGTTCAGCTCTGCACGGCTCTACTTGCCTCAGGTCAGCCCAGCTCAATTCAGCTCATCCCATTCCGACTCGATTCAGCCTGGCTTGGCCCAGTTGAGCGTGGCTTGGTTTGGCACGGTTCGGTTCGGCTCAGCCCAGCCCARTTCCCCTCAGCACAGTTGAGCTTGGCTCAGCACTGCCTAACTCGACCCAGCTCAGCTTGGTTCAGTATGGTTCAGCTTGGCTCAGTTTGCTCGGTTCAGCTGGGCTCAGCTCAGCACAGTTTGCCTTCACTGTGCGTGACCCGACCCATCTCCTTTCAGCTCAGCACGGTTCAATTCAGCTTGGTTCATCTTGGCGCTCTTCAGTTTGATCCAGCTCAGCTAAGCTCAGCTAGGTTTGACTCCACTCTGCTTGGCCCAGTCTTGGCTTGGCTTGGCAAAGTCTGGCTCTGCTTTGCTCAGTCCAGCAGAGCTCAGCTTAGTTCAGCTCCACACAGTTCACTCTGATTGGCTTGACCTGACTCGGCTTGGTTCAGATCAGCACAGTTCRGTTGGGCTCAGCCCAGCTCAGCGCAGTTCAACTCCTTTGAGCTGAGCCTGGTTCAGCCCAGCTCAGCTCAGCTCAGCTGGGCAGTGTCCCTCACTTCACTGTGTGACCAAGCTCAGTTTAAACTGCTGATCTCGCAGCACCAGAGTGAGCTGCTGTCGAGCTGGGCTGTCCTCGCCGCACTCCCGGGCCAAGAGGGAAGCAGATGCCAGCGCCACAGTGGCAGGAACTGGCAGTGGGGGTCCCGTGGGGCTCCTGGACCCTGGCTTGCTGCAGACGTTGGGTCCAGACAGCTCTGGCATTACTGGGGTGTTAACCAAGGCTGAGCACCCTCCAAGTGCTCCATCCCCACGTTCCTGCTGCCCTCCAGGGAGCAGTCTGCGTGTCCCATCTCYGACGCTTGTCCCTGCAGGGGAAGGAATCCCCTCCTGGAGCAGCGGGTTGCATCGCACTCGGTTCCCATGGGAGCTGGTTGCAGCTCGATGTGCCTGGAGCAGCGGGGACAGCGGCCGTCCCSTCCGCCCTGCGGATGCTCTGGCAGCGCCGTGGGGCTGGGAGGCTCCAGACTGAAGCCAGGCAAAGCCGTGGCACTGCCGGGCCCCGTGTTTGCCGCGCGTGTGGCTGGTGCCACTGGGAACTCCCCAACTGCCCTGGCTGGGCTGGCAGCAGGGGCAAAGTCCTCTCCCTACCCCATTTATTACACAGCCTAATTGCTCTGGCTGAGTTCACYTCATTAAGGGTCATTTTTAATATTTCGCCATACTCCATGGTCCTTCCTGCCCCTGCACTGACAGCCCCATGCGCTATCCCCCTCCGTGGGCATTTAGCAAGAGGACCAGGACCCATGTGGGCAGCCCGGSCTTTGCCACGGGGTCGTGGCCGGTGCCAGGTCTCTTTTCCAGCTGCCTCTACTGGGCAGCRCTTCGATACTGGGAGCCCTGGCACCACCTGAGAACTGGCACAGCGGGCACGGAGGAGGCCGCCGTTCCCATCCCTCTTCCGAACAGCCCCATGACGCAGGAAAAAAATAATCCCGTTGTGCTGCGGGGAGGGAAAAAATAACAGCAACCCGCGTTTCATCAGGGGCAGCGGCGGCAGCGCGGAGCCAAACAGGCTGGGGTGGTTTTTCCGGGGTGTGGTGGTAGGACCCGGCTCTGTGCACAGCCCTGCTCTTCCAGGCAGGGGAATTCAGGGAATGCTGGTAAGGTCGAGGAGAGATGTTCCCGACACCATGGCTGTGGGCTCTCCTGCTGGTATTCCATCACATTCTTCAACGTGATGGAATTCTTGGGGCAGGAGGATAGGGATTGGTCCCTGGCCACGTCTTCTCCCGTGAGGACGTTGCATTATGGCCGTGTGCGCTGGTGTGGGTACTTCTGCCCTCACTCACCCTGCTAGGGGTCGTAGGACCTTTCTGCTGCCTGAATGGGACGTGGGTTGGGGGTGCAGAGGACGCTGGGCTGGACCACAGAGGTGCCTGGTCCGTGCTGAGCAGCTGTGGGCTGGGACCGTGCAGTCCATCATGGTGAAATGGAGCAGACCTTGGTCCTAAGCATGGCAGTGCTTGGTTTTACCCTCACAGCTCCGACCAAGGATGTGGGTATCGCTTCTTCCCTGCTCCTGGGGCGCTCAGGTCTCGGTTGCAGAGCACTGGTGAAGATGATGAATCTCTATGGCTCCATCTGCCCCTGGCTGCTCTTGAGTAGCTGGCTTAGCCCCAAAGGCCTCCGAGGCCAAGCAGAGCAGTAGCGCCGACCCGCAGTGAGCAACGCAGCACARGGAAGGGGTGCACGTGGGACCCTGACATCCTCGGGAGGAGATGGGAGCAGCTGTGGGGCTGTCAGGGGGYGGTGGGGCAGCCAGGAATGCTGTGGCAGGAGCTGGGTGATGGCTGGATGTGTGGTCCCCAACGGCGAGACCAGACGTGTATGGCACAGCTCTGGACAGCTCCTGGAGCTGCCACGGAGCAGGAGGATGGGGGCTTTGGTGGAACATCCCACAAGGGCAGCCCAGATGCCACCCAAGCACATCCGCAGTGAGGCTGCTCTCCTAGTCCTGCACACTCTCGTTCCTGCCACGGGCTAGCCCCAGCCTTAGCTCTGGCTGGAGAGTTCCCATTCTAGCCAGTGTGTCCATGTTCTGGAGAGACTGTGCAGGCTGTGCCAGCACTGCTGTCCTTTTGAGCAGGGGGGTCGGACTAGGTGATCTCTAGAGGTCCCTTCCAACCTTAACCATTCTGTGTGTGTGTTTGGGAGCCTTGGAGCATTTTTGCAATTCTCCAGTTGGCAACTGGGAGGTCCAAGGTGGACCCAGTAGCAATATGCAGAAGATTCCCAGTTTCTCAATAAAGAAACTTCAGCAAAACTGAAAGAAGAATCTCACTGAAGAAAGGTCATTATCCAAAGGGAAGAATGATATTTTGGGGCAAATTTCCATTGGTCCAGCTAACTCTTAAGACAGTTTTTTATAAGACTTTGTGTGGTGTCACTTGAGGTCTTAGAAAGGCCAGGTTGGGGGCTAGCCAATGTGAAACCTGGTCTCTCAAGAGAGCATCACGCGCTCTCAGTCTGTCCTACCTTTGGGCAAGGGCTCTCCTTGTGGGACGTCCAAAGATGACTTGTGGAAAGGGAAAATCCTTTGCACACTCTGGCCATTCCCCAGCTCTCTCTTAAGAAGCCAGGGACTGACATGTGGTCAAGGGCAGCTTGGTAGCTAGTGCTTTGAGGASAGTGCCCAGCTACCTTCATCTTCCCGTTGTTCAGCACCAGAGGATGCCTCCCAACCGCTCCACCGTGTTGGGAAACACCACAGGTAGCCCCATTACCTTTCGACCTACTTGATGTCTTCCTTACCTAATTTGCTAATTAGAGCTGGCCTTCTTCACACTGGAAGTGGGGCCGGGTTGGTGGCTGCCACCTCCCACACCCTTCCTGGGGCTGAAGGACAAGTGCATGTGCAGAGCCCCATAGGGGTTCGCCGCTTTTCCGGGCTCCCCTTGCCCTAGGCTGTTCCTATAGCTCGGCGGAGCCTCCCATGCCTAACAGGTTTGGAGATAATTGTTCCCCTCCCTAATCTCATCTGCAGAAGATTCATTGCATTGTTTTCAAAGTGCCATGAGCCATTTCCAGGGGCTTGAGGCCCATGAGCCATGTGATTCATAGTGATGTGCTCCCATAGGCACTTAACCTTTTCCAAAACAGCAAGTCCTTCTTTCATGGCTGTTATCTCCTCAGGAAACACCACCCAGGTGAGTCCCTAATGGTGCACTTGTGTCTATTTGGCTTTGGTGGACACCTGTGGCAGCACTTGGTCGCTTTCATGGACCAGGGGATATGTTCTTTCCCCAGGAACAGCTGTCCTGGAGCAAAGAGCAGTGGAGACCCCCTTGACCATCACCTGGTGTCCAGAGAGGGCAAGCGGGGTGCTGGAAATGGGTCTTCTTCTGCCCCCTTTCAGGCCTTGCTTCAAAGGGACGTCCTTGGGTTGTGACTGAGGACCGTTTTCAGCTTCCTTTACATTTTGCTGGTGCCAGAAAATGCARGTGACTTTGTACTCAGCATCCTATGCACCCTGGTGTCTGTGTGAACAGCCCCCTCCTGATCTACGGTTCTCAGCAGGCCTCCTCAGCAGTGATAGCCTGATTTCCTCAGGTCACTGATACATAGTTTTCTTAACTGAGAGCAAGGCTGGTGAGACCAGCCGCTCCGAGATGGTTCGAGAGAACCGCCAGGTAACCAGTCTTCAAACCATTTAATGGGCAGCCTGTTGATCTGGGAGGTTTAAGAGATGGTGCTGTGACCTGCCTTGGTTGGAACAAGTGCAAGGCTCTCTGCACAGCCCTCCACTCTGTATGGGTCTRGTGCTGGGCTATAGATGGTGGCACAGACACATCCCATCTGGCTTTAGCAAAAGAGGGACAGCTTCTGGCATTTGCCAGCCCTTGGGCATCTCCTGGCCCAGTGCTGTGTCAGTGAGATCAGCCTCCCAGGTCCACAGGAGGACCTGTGATCTGCTCTTGTCTTCCATCTATGGGAACAGGACACAAACCCTCATGCTTCTCCATCATCCCCTTCATCAGAGGGCTCAGGGACACAAAAGCACTTTCTTTGGCTTCTCTGRTGAGGACTGACTGCCCCTGGATGCAGGGCATCCTAAGCAGCTCTGGTCCC